CATCGTCCTTGTCGTTTGACCGCTGTTTTGGACAGATGAGTACCCAGAGGCCCAGGGTATAGAGTCCTATTATGTGATGAGTTACCCCGATCTTTGGCTAACTTAAGAAACACTAGTTTCTTTAAAAAAAAAAGAAAAGAAAAGAAAAAAGGGTCTATTTTCATGGTTATTTTCTGCAACTATTTTGGTAAATACCAGAATTATACATTAATTTATTTGGTGTAAACGTTGCTCTTGCTCTGTATAAAAATAGCCCTGGTAAAGAAAATACCTAAATTCTAAATTTAAAATTTCCGGTTTTGCGAATCCGGATGGTAAACCCGGGCAGGAGTTGCTGAGTAGGAAAGGGAGCAGAGTGCGTTTGGGGGATGAGCCAGCCATGTGGCCCGGGGTTTCAACTTTCATAGCACAAATGTTGAGTGACTAACTTCCCTTGCAGATTGAAGTCCATTATGGGAGGGCCAAGCTTTGGCTTGGTTTCCTGATCACCCAGGGGTTTTTGAGTTCTCCCACTTTCATTGGGCCCTGGGGTCTTTAAAGAAGACAAGCAATGCAGCTGTTAGTGACCAAGAATATGTTCAGCATCAACATTTCACTATCCTTCACCCCTGGCAGGGTATCACATAACCAGATTTTTCTTAAGAATAGAATCAATGTTATTTTTACATAAAATTATTTAACATTGGATTTTTGCAGAAATATATATATATATATATTTATAAATTTTTTTTTTTTGTAGAGACTGGTGTCACTGTGTCACCCAGGCTGGTCTTGAACTCCTGGCCCTAAAGCTATCCTCCTGCCCTGGTCTCCCAAAGTCCTGGGATTACAGGCGTGAGCCACTGTGCTGGCCAGACTTTTTTGAGCAATGAAAATGTGTAGGAATAGATGTTTTGGGTTCTCTGAATTTTCTGATTAAACAACCACTGGAAAACTAGGTTCACTCATCCTATGAGATGTATTGAGGCCCTGCTGCATGTAAGCGCGCGTTGTGTGTGTGTGGTAAAAAGGCCCAGCCACGGGAGGCTGTTCCAGGTCTAGCAAGCTCAGGACACACGTGGAGGTTACTTTATAATCCTGATGTGTAGTTTTGTCGTCTGAGTGGTTGGCACAGAGAGCAGAGCTGGAACAGACACACACATCAGGACTTGATTCTAGCCCTCCAGTTTTAGTTCTTGGGGAAGATGCCGAGTCTCAGTTTCCGCCCCCATAAAATGGAGTCTCTCCTTATCGGCTTGTGAAGAGGATTAGAAATAAGGGTGTAAGGTGTTGTGCACAGTAAAATGCTAGTAGCCATTTAGTAATTGATAGCGGTAACTTACTATTTTTTGGAGATAAGAGTCTTGCCCTGTAACCCAGGGTGGAGTGCAGTGGCATGATCATGGCAGTCTCAACCTCTTAGGGGCCAGTGAACCTCCCACCTCAGCCTCCTGAGTAGCTGGGACCACCAAATCAGGCTGATTTTTATATTTTTTGTAGAGATGGGGTTTCACCATGTTGCCCAGGCTGGTCTCAAACTTCTGGATTCAAGCGATCCACCTGCCTTGGCCTCCTAAAGTGTATTAAGTTTCTTAAAGGGTAGATAAATTCAGAAGTTTCAGTTGAGACCCAGTAAACTTAAATTTCACTAACAATTTTATTTGCCAAGTGCATTAAATTTTGGGGGAACTTCCCAAATATTAATTAAGCTACTTAAAAAATAACTGAATGCTCTTATACCCTCCACTTTCATCCATTCCAGGTCACAAGAAAAGTGTTTCATCGGGGCCGGGTGCGGTGGCTCACGCCTGTAATCCCAGCACTTTGGGAGGCCGAGGCGGGTGGATCACTTGAGGTCAGGAGTTCAAGACCAGCCTGGCCAACAGGGTGAAACCCCATCTCTATTATAAATACAAGAAAACTAGCTGGGTGTGGTGGGCGCCTGTAATCCTAGCTACTAAGGAGGCTGAAGCAGGAGAATTGCTTGAACTCGGGAGGCAGAGGTTGCAGTGAGCTGAGATCATGCCACTGCACTCCAGCCTGGGTGACAGAGTAATGAGGCTCCATCTCAAAAAAAAAAAAAAGCATATCATCAAGTCATGTTTTTCTAGGCAGATTCTGGCACCAGCCAGCCTGCCCGCCCAAGTTTGTATCTTTGCTCTGCCTCTTACCAGCAGTGTGAACTGAGCTCAGTTGTTTAACTTAACCTCTCTGAATTTCAGTTTGCTTATCTATAAAACGGGGATAATAGTATTTTGTAAAGGTTAAATAAGTTAATATATAGGTAAATCTTTTAATACAGTACAAGGCATATTGTAAGGGCTAAGTGTTCACTGTTATCACTGCTACCATACACTGTGTAGACAGACCATAGTTCTCAGAAGCAAGCTAGCAAAGCTTGAGCCCTGGACAGGGCTCAGGGCCCAGGCCTATTCCTGCCTCCCAAGGAGGCTCTAGGTTCTCAGGGGACCTTGGCTCCCCTCTGCAGATGACTGTTATCCCTTCTTCCTCCTTTCCCCGCTATACACTCTAGGCCACCAATACTCAACAAATGTTTGGTAGCAGCCCAGTGGTTTTCAGGAGGGAGAAATTCAAATTCAGAGGGGCTTGGGGACTAAGAGGAAACCCACGCTGAAAGCGATTTCAGTCGGAGCCCAGTCCCGGAGCCCCGCCTCCCCTCTCTATTGTACTCTTCCTCCATGCTGCCGCCAGCATCCGGAGTGATCTCCAAGAGCTGCCTCCGGGAGTAAACAGCAGAGACCGGGTGGGAGTGCACGGATGGGGCATCTGAAGCCCCAGTTGTGATGACCTAGGTGCCGCCAGCCCGCTGAGGTGGAGGGAGAGGGAAAACACGGGCTCTACTCCCTCACCCCACGTTGCTTCTGCTCCAAATAATTAAGCTCCAGTTTCCTCCCTGATGAGTTTTGGTGCTGACACCAAAAGGAAATACCATGAACCTAGTACGACTCTGCCATGCCCAGAGCTCAAGCTTCGGAGGCATTACTGAGAGTGGGAGAGAGCCTTGCTTGGGCCTGAGTGAGGCCCAGGGCAAGGAACCCCTCCTCTGCTCTGCCCTTCCGATTCTCCTCAGCTAATTTGTTCAAGTTCGCATAATGCCAGTAGTCACCTGTATCACCAGTGGGCCTTCTCAGATGCAAGACTTAAAGCCAGTAATCTTAGACCAGTCTCCTGGTTTCTGTGAGCACCAGATCCTTGTGTGGAGCCTAGATGATAAACTACTTAACAGAGGACCTTTGAGGGGCCCAAACGTGGTAACAGAGCTCATTCTGCACTAGTGCTGTGTCCAGATGGTGCCTCATCACCTTGGACTGCAGAGCTTGGTTTATGTAGAGGTCTCCTCCTCTCTCCTTGTGTCTCACAGGCCACTACCATGCTTCATTCACCTGGCACATGACAGGCATTCACGGAGTTAAATGCAGCTGACCCTCAGGTCAGGTCTGGTCTACAGATGTGTTTTATTTTGCCTGCAGAGTATGTAAATTATTTGTTGCAATCACATTTCATACAAAAATCTGGATTCCCCAGATTCTCTGGACAATTTTGAAGATGGGGCATTAGGGTCCATCTTCAGCACCTGGGACAGGCTGCCCCATTTAGATAGATGCTGTCCACTCTGCCTGTCCCCATCACTCCCTCCTCTCACACGGGAATTGCCTCGGCTTCCCTTATTGATTTGACCTCCCTGGTCCCTGTAGACAGTGGAGTTAGCAGCTCCTGTTGGTGACTTAGGCAGGAATGGAAGGGAAGGTCTCCATCGGCCCCACCAAAACCAGTTGTCAATACATGCCTGTGGCAAAGGCAGCATCTGAGGCTTGCCAGGCAAACAGCAGCTAGAAGGCGCCTCTGGAGAGGCCCTTGGTCAGCAGGTATTCTAGACAACCCAGCTAGTTCATGGTAGTCAATAGCACGGATGTGTGGTTGATTAGGCTGCATTCAATCCTTTTTCTAGTCCATTCTCTCTGGTGAAAAATAGGCGAGGGTATGCCATGTGTGCAAGAAGAAGGGGGAAAGGTAGGCAGTTGGCTTCACCGAACCATTATCAGACATCAAGGAAAAGGCTTCTTGGCCTTCCCATCCAGGTATTCTAATCATGATCACCAGGAAAGCGGCCAAGACACCCAACAATATAAAGGAAGGGGTGGTGGGGGTGGCAGCAGGTCATTCCAGGCTGAGGCTAGGGTATGCACAAGGGTGGAGGTGCAGGCCACTGGGGTCTAGGAAGGTCCTAAGGATGGGGCAGGAGGAGCAGCTGGAGAGATGACAGACGCCACGTTAAGAGAGTGAGCCGTGTGAGAAGCCAGGGAGTGAGGATGCAGGGGAACAATTCATGGCTTGAGGCTTCCGCTTGGAGAAAGACAATTCCCTTTAATAGTAATTCCCAAGATGAAGAGGCACCATCACTTACCCTCATTTTTTTTTTTTTTTTTTTTGAGATGGAATCTTGCTCTGTTGCCCAGGCTGGAGTGCAGTGGTGCAATCTCGGCTCACTGCAACCTCTGCCTCCTGGGTTCAAGCGATTCTCCTGCCTCAGCCTCCTGAGTAGCCGGGATTATAGGCGCCTGCCACCATGCCCAGCTAATTTTTGTATTTTTAGTAGAGACAAGGTTTCACTATGTTGGCCAGGCTGGTCTGGAACTCCTGACCTTAAGTGATCCACTCACCTTGGCCTCACGAAGTGCTGGGATTACAGGTGTGAGCCACCACGCCTGGCCTAGGATTTTTTAAATTAGATTTTTCTCCCAGAACATCAGTGTAAGAAAACAAGTTATATATGAAATGTATGAAACACAGCTGGTCTGGTGATGAGGCTCGAGGCTCGCAGCGGGCTCTGGGCAATCTTCAGTGTCTTCTTTACGGAGGTCCCCAGCGTCGGAGCGGCACAGGTCGGAGACCACTGATCTCAAGTAGGACTACATTTTAGAAAGTAGAACAAGCTGCCCCAAGATGGAGTTCCTTCTGCCTAAGAAGCCAAGTGCTCCTATAGAGATGAACAATTCCACTTCCCGTTGCCACATTTTGAACTATTTATTGAATGAGGCAGTCAAAGACAGAATGGGAAACAACACAGAATCCATGCTCTGCTACTGGGGTTTCGCTTTTTTCTTCGTCTTGGCAACTTCTCAAACTATTTGGAGGTTATTTCACCACAAAGGAACATGGACTTTAAAGTCCCTGGACAACTTCACAATGACGATAAAAAATAATAATTAAAAAAATAACACATTGTAGAACTAGGACTATTTATATGTAAATTTCCCTCCCCTCCCCCCATTACGTACAGAAAAGAACATATAAAGAACATTAGATAGTTTTATATAAAACAAGCAAATACAAGAATCTGAAACTTCTCTCAAAGGTTGAGCAAGACGTGGAGAATCTTTTAATGTCGCATTAAAAAAACACATTAAATACACTATCACACACGTGGGGAGAGCTGGGAGGAGGGAGGAGGAGCTGTTCCTGTACTCAAGGAGCAGAGATTTGACCTGTCGAAAAGTCAGGTGAATTCAGCCACGGGAGACTCAGGGCTTGCAGCTGAGAAAGACAGAGTTACCGGTTATCAAGAACACCCAGTCAGTCAACACCTCCGAAGAGGCAAGCTGCTCCCAGCCTGGGCCTCCAGGCTGCATCCAGGAATATGGGCCTCCAGGAGTCCCTTCTGAAGCAGGGCCTGATCCAGGAACACAGCAAACACCCTCAGCCGTTTTCTATGGCCGGGTGTCCCTTCTTCCCTTCCGCGTACTGACCAGGCCCAACCAAGCTTAGCTTCCAAGATCACACAAGATCGTGGACCTTCAGGGTGCTGTGGCCACAGACCAGGTGTCCCTTCCTGTTCGTTCCAGCGCCTCCTCTGTGAAGCTACAGACAGCTAGAGAAAATTGCTCCCACAGGTGTATCCTGGTCTAGGAAGATTTTCCTTTCCTTCCTTTCCCTTCCAACCCCTCCAACCCCCTTCCCATCCCCTCCCCTACCATGCACGCACACATACAAGCACACTTACACGCACGCACTCCTCAAACCCCTAATACTTCTGTTACCTTCAGTTCATATATACGAGCAATTCAGGACTGACCTTAAAACCAGAGCAACATTTTAATAGTCATGAGATCAAGAAGGATTCCTGGGAAGGAGAGGAGATGGGAGGCTGAGGCCCGGGAGCTTTCGAGACATTCATCTGCCTGTGGCAAGGTCAGCACCTGGGCCAGCCCGAGGAGCGTCTCAGCTGGCAGACCACGCAGCCCCTGGACCTTGCAAACACATCTCTGACCCGCCCCATGCTGGAGCCTCTTTCCTCAGGTGAGTCCAGCACGGAGAGTTCTGTGTGGCCACTGGGAGGCAGCTTTGGTGAAGGGCATGGTCACCTCCGCCTGAGTTTGTCAGTAGCTCAACGCATGACCCTGGTATGAACAAAAACTGGGTGACTGTGTCTGGCCACGTACCCTACCACCCACTAAACTGGGTGAATTATTGTTTCCACAGCTCACCTTGATTTCATACAGATAATTCCATGCGGGTTTCATACATATATATATATGTATATATATACTTTATATATATGTAAATGTGTATGTCCATATGTACACATATACATATATTCACACTCACACATACACACACATAAGTATACACACACATTTCCGCAGAAAGAAGTCCTGCCACAATTTGGCTTTTTTGGGACAGTGAAATTGACAACGCAGTTTCTTACTCCACCAATCCCAGAAAATCAAGAGTGGTGCTTTAAAAAATGCAATTCCAAAATCCGCTGCCTTTCTTCCTTTTAAAAAAAAAAAGGTTAACAAAACTTTTCTTCCAAAGTCGAGAGACTTAATTCCATTTGATTGCACCTCTGCAAACGTGTAAAAAATTTTGAAGTAGACTAGAAAACGATGCCATAATATGGCTGTATGTCACTGTTCCAATGTCACCACCTCCACAGCTTGGCCGTCCATGGTGACTGCGCTGTCTGATATCCTGGTGGTCACAGGGGCCATGGCCACCTGCACTGGTCCGTTGCCCTGGGCGAGGCTGGTCACCACAGTCTGGTACATGCTCACAGGGATCTGGACCAGGCCTGGAGAGACAAAGAGAAGACCGTTAGTGGGGCTCAGGCTCAAGTTCCCGGATGCTGGCTCAACGGGGGCACCCAGCTCTTGCCTTTGAGGTATTGTGGTCACCAACCCCAGGTGATCACATACCCATGGCCCAGGCACAAAGACATCCCTTTCCCACCCATTAAAATTTTTTTCATTAATTTTTAAGATTTATAATTGATATATAATAACTGTTCATGTTTATGGGGTACAATGTGATGTTTCAATACATGTATACATTGTAGAATAATCAAATCGAGATAGTTACCATATTAATCTCTTTAAAGATTTATCTTTCATTGTGGTGACAACATTCAAAATCTAGCTGTCTTGAAATATAGACCTCATTGTTACTCACTACAGTCACCCTACTGTGTAACTGAACACCAGAAGTTTTATTCTTCCTTTACACCTGCTGGCCAACCTCTCCTGCCCCCGTCCCCAACCATTCCCGACTCTGGTAACTATTATTCTACTCTCTACTTCTATGAAATCAACTTTTTTCCATTTTAACTTTTATTTTTTATTTTCATTTTTTATTTTATTTTATTTTATTTTATTTTATTTTTTTTGAGACGGAGTCTCGCGCTGTGTCACCCAGGCTGGAGTGCAGTGGCGCGATCTCGGCTCACTGCAAGCTCCGCCTCCCAGGTTCACGCCATTCTCCTGCCTCAGCCTCCGAGTAGCTGGGACTACAGGCGCCCGCCACCACGCCCGGCTAGTTTTTTGTATTTTTAGTAGAGACGGGGTTTCACCATGTTAGCCAGGATGGTCTCGATCTCCTGACCTCGTGATCCACCCGCCTCGGCCTCCCAAAGTGCTGGGATTACAGGCTTGAGCCACCGCGCCCGGCCTATTTTCATTTTTTAAAGAGACAGGGTCTGGCTCTGTAGCCTAGGCTGGAGGACAGTGGCGTGACCACAGGTCACTGCAGCCTCGAACTCCTGGATTCAAGTGATCCTCTCACCTCGGTCTCCTGAGTAGCTGGAACCACAGGCATGTGCCACCATGCCTGGCTAATATAATTTTTTTTTTTGAGATGGAGTCTTGCTATGTTGCCCAGGCTGGTCTTGAACTCGTGGCCTCAAGCGATCCTCCCATCTTGAATAGCTGGGATTATAGGCGCAAACCACCAAGGCTGGCCATTTTAGTTTTTTAAAAACAGACTATCAGGAAAGAAAAGTTTGGAGGAATTGTGGAAACATGCCTTAGGGTAGGGCCTCCCCAGCTTGCCGTGAGAGGGCCCTGCCTGCCTCTGCATCTAGGAAGCACAGGCCTGTCAGGTGTGAAATGTCCCCGGCCTGTCTTCTCCCTCTCAGAACAGGCCACCATTACTTTTCTTTGATATTTGGCTACACTGCCTTTTTCAACCCTCTTTCTGCCTATGCTCAAGTCTCTCTCAGCCTGAAAAGAAAAACCTTGTCCCTCTCCTATCCTGTCTTCTGGCCACTGCTCCATCTATGTGCCTTCCTTCATAGTCAAGCTTATTTTATTTATTTATTTATTTTTAAAGCCTAGGTCACTTGTTTCCTGAGTTTTAGATTTCACACACCAGTAAAATGCAAAAACACATTTTGGTGTCAACTTAAAAAAAAAAAAAAAAGACCCCATCTACTCCCTAATATCACTATTATTTCAGAGTAGAAAGGATGGCTTAAAGGAAGAAGCACATAACCTCCATAAAGGTAGTCCAGCCTAAAAAGGGAAAGCTGATAATATATTAAAAAAAAAGGATTCCCAGTAAGTAAGGCAGTAATTAATCTATACATCAATCTCTCTTCCTTCTGAAACTACAATTACAGTGAACGAGGAAAAAAGGATATAAATGAGGGATGTCAACATTTTTTTGGAAGATGCAAAGCAAATGTGAAATGGTTCTGATTTATCAGAGAAGTGGAAGGGGCAACTCCTATGCTCACACAGGGCTCAGGACGTAGAGGCCTAGCTACTGCAGAAAGGGAGGAGGCCAAAAATGAGAATGAGTGGGAAGTCTGAATTTAATTGATTAGACCAACCCCAACATCTAGACCTAAAGACCTTTGCTGACTGGGCCTCTGAGGTTCACCCACTCTATTGAAAAACTGACCCAGAGAGACCCCTTTTAGTTCTTTTTGACATTTAAATCATAGGGTACTTTGATGAAGATAAAAATTAATTTAAAAAAGGGTTGTCAAAATATTTTCTAATGCAAAAAATCAAATATAAGATTTTATTTTCCAATGTTAAATTGTAATGTAACTGTTTTCTAGGAGCAAGTTCTGCCAGTTTAGGGAAAAGGGATAAGCATTCGACGATGCAATGAGACTTCATGAAATGAGACTTGCTGTTCGGGTGACAGATCACTAGAAACCCTGGCTCCTCTGGTGTGCCCTCACACAAATGGAAGACGTGGCCAGTCGCCCCACACTTGCAATGCAGACCTGAAAGGAGGAGGAGAGAGGCCAGCCTCCATGTACACATGGGCATGGGGGAAAGCAGGCTGAAGGGCCAGGCCTTGGCCTACAAAACTGTGGGCTTCAATTTCTTTCAACTAAACCTTTGCAAATGGCTGTTAACTGTCTTTAATCAGTCCCTCTTTCAGTTCACCCCTTCCCAGTCACTCAAATTATCTTTATTATTATTTTTTTATTTTTTAAATAGTGATGAGGTCTCACTATGTTGCCCAAGTTGGTCTCGAACTCCTGAGCTCAAGTGATCCTCCTGCCTCAGCTCAAAGTGCTGGGATTGCAGGCATGAGCCGCCACACCCAGCCAAATTATCTTTCCATAATGTGTTACTCTCCTCATCTCAAACATTTAAATTCCATGGTTTTAAAAAGGTTTCCAAAGCTTATAATAAAGCTCAAATGATTTAGCATGGTCTTCAAGGCCTCTCATGATTTGCCCTGGTCCATCTTTCCAGTCTCATCTCCCTCACTCTCTCACAGGTGCCCTGTGCTCTAGGTGCCCCCCACCCCCAGACTACTCTCAGTTCCCCCAACCTATCAGCCACACTCTTTTGGGCCTGTGCTCAGGTTATTCATGAGATAGACTTATCCCACACTCCTTCCCTTTACACTGGGGTCAGCTTTCCCTCCTTGTGGAACCTGCCCCATGCCAGCCTCATCAATGCTGGAGCAGCCTCCTCTGGATTCTCAGGAGGCCCAGGGACAGCCATGGATAAGCCGGCTGGGCCAGTTGATGCATGTCTGCAACAGGCCTTCCCACTTGACAGAGGATTCTTTCAAGATCAGGCCTGGCTCTGTCTTAATTCATGTTCCTCATAGTATGAAGTACAAAGTGTGCCACAAGTTGCTATCAGCATAGCCTCAAGGGCCATGTACTGCCGGCCTCAACCAGTGTGCAGCTGGGCCCTCTCCCCAGCGTCTAGATTCAAGGCATGGGCCTGAGTATATATATGTGAAGACCGTACAACCCCGTCAGTCCCCTGCCTCCTCCCAGTGTATCATGATCATGCTCTCCTCTGGTCAAACAGGCAAAGTTAATGAAATCACCCAAAATGCCCAGTGGCAAAGCCAAGAAACCTGTGTACTCCTCCAGGGAACACACGTGCTGGCAAGTAGCAAGCAAAACCAGAAGCAAAGGTCAGCTTCATTTCACTGCTCTTGCCTCTGGGCTCCATTCAGTTCCAAAAGCTCCAGGCTTGGGGAACAAGTCTGCTGTGCAAACACAGTGACTACAGTGTGCAGGGAGATCTTTTCTAACTGAGCAACCATCTGGGGTTAGGGCTGGTGTGAACACAAACTAAAAGAATTGTCAAAGTTGAATTTCTTTCACCCTGGCTGTGATGTGTTTGGGTTTCCTGTGATGTGGGCCCATGCCCAGTTGGTAAAATAGTTTTTATAGTATCACGGAAGATTTTCCCCAGAATAAAATGAAGCAAGGTTCTAATGCAAAAATCTTATCTGTTGGGTGATACTGCCATCATCAGAATGATCTTCTGAATATCTGACCTGATCTTGCTGTTCTTCACAGTTCTTCAGTGGTTTCTAGTGGCTCACGGAATATCAAGTCCAAACCCCTTTGCAGGTATTTAAACTCTTCACGTCAGCCACTGTTGTTCGGTTAAGCCTGGTGATCCACTAATCCCCACTCACTTCACACGCCAGCCAGATGAACTACTTGACTGAGGTTCTCCAAGCACACACCTCCATGGCTTGTGCCTGGAGGGGGCTCCTCCCCTTCCTCCGAGAGCTAGCCCCAGCCTCTCTCCTCCCCATCTTGGGTCCTCTTCTCCCATGCTCCTCCTCGGCTCTCTGTACAGGCTCCTTGGAGGCAGTGGCCTCATTCATCCTCACTGCTTGCATGTCTTGTCCCCAAGGAGATTGTAGATTCCTTAAGGGAGGGATTAAGTCTCCATCTTTGAGTGGCCAGCAGTCAGCAGGTGCTGGAATGTTTTCTACTACCATGAATGAAACCTGCCTTCTAAGATTTAACATGTGTCCCTTTTAGGGACTGCGTGATTAAGGTGGGTGAGCCTTAGGGTGATGAGGCTGTTTTGGAACAAGAGCTTCCAGCCAAGAAAAAAAGCAACTTAAAAAATACTACATTCAAGACTCATCCAAATAAAGCTGGTTTTGAAAGATTCCATCTTCTGTACTCCACCCCAGACAGGGAAGAAGCACATTTGGCCACACCTGGGTGAGGACACGGTCCCCACCCAGAGCTCCCAGGGATGAGTAACTGGTGAGGACAGCCACACACCTTAGAAGCCCAGGAGAGGGAGGCCATAATGGGAGTCATTTCATAAACTTGCATGCCTTGGAACCCCAATTCCGCTATTTTCTACACAGTTTCTGTCTACTGCCACCTTAAATAAATGCATGACCATCCCACTGTAGGGATTTTAAGACCTCTCTCTCTCTCACACAGCCATTTTGACATGGGATTAGATTAAATCGCCTCAGTGTCTCTGACCTAGCAGCCTTCATGTCCCTGGCAAGGGAAAGGGGGAGGGGCTGGAGGCCTGGAAGCCCAGCGTG